GTGGGGGGGGGTTGGGGGGGGGGGGGAGTGATCTCTCCCAGAGAAGTGACGTTTGACAGTTGTAAGTTCGAGCGTGCAGCTGGCGTGTGTCACCAGAACATTTCCCATTGGCCCCTTGCCCCCCCCTCCGCAACCCCCCCTCTCCGCTCTTAGCTTCTCTGGACAGTCAGCGGGGCGAGAGCCACATGCCGGCGATTGATACATTTGCAGTGGAGCGTTCTCAGGAGGCGGGGCCTGCGTTCCTTTTCATGAATGAGCGCTGGGGGGAGGGAGAGAGGGGGGTGTGTGTGTCTCAGAACATTTCCCATTGGCCCCTTGCCCCCCCCTCCGCAACCCCCCCTCTCCGCTCTTAGCTTCTCTGGACAGTCAGCGGGGCGAGAGCCACATGCCGGCGATTGATACATTTGCAGTGGAGCGTTCTCAGGAGGCGGGGCCTGCGTTCCTTTTCATGAATGAGCGCTGGGGGGAGGGAGAGAGGGGGGTGTGTGTGTCTGTCAGGGGAAGGCAAAGCCCAGCCACTGTGAGCAAAGCCTAAGGGCTGCGTGAGTGGAACCTGGAGAGCTTGAAGTCGACATGGGAATTCTGCCCTTCTTTTCAGCCCTGATGCAGGGTCCCAGCGGAATGGGGGTGTGGGTAGAGGGATCCAGGATGGGGCATGGGGGTGTAAGTGGAGGAGAGTGAGAAGGTGGGTTATGCAGTGAAATCATCTCCCAGCCCATCTAAAACTATCTGTTAGAAACAACAAAGAGGTCCTGCCACTTCCATCAGCTTAAAAAATAAATAAAACAGGAAGCAGTTGGAAGTTGGGCGCCTGCTCCTAACTCCCCTGTCAAGTACTGTGTTCTACAAACCCATCCCATCTGCTTCCTTAAAGGGCTGAGAGAGACAAGATGGGGGAGACGATACCTTTCACTGGACCAACTTCTACTGGGGACACTGCAGAGCTCCACAGAGCTGTTCTTCAGGTGTGGGGGAGGTAAATGAGTGCCACAGCTAAACACAAGGGGGAACAGAATTGTTCCTCAAGGGCCAGCTCACATTGCCTTCAATTGTTCTTAGGGATGCTCGCCATCTGAAAATCAGGGCCAATGTATTTCACGCCTAACTGCTGGGTTAAAGACCCGGTACAATGAAGAGGCCAACAAAGGATCCAGGCCTGCAGGCACTTACAAAATGTGAGTTGAAGACAGGGGGACCACTCACCTAAGTTACTCATATGCTTATGTGTTTGCAGGACCAGGCTAATTGATTCTACAAAGAGAAACTGAGAAAACGGTAACAATTGTTGTCAATCCACAGAGCAAACTGAAAAGAAAAACAAAAGCAATACAGATTTGTCCATAGTCTCTTTCACTTAATATTAGATCATATTTGGAACAATAGTGAGTCAAAACATTTAGGTAGAATAATGCTCATTACATCGAGTGTGTCCCTTTAAAAATCTTCCCAGACAAGGACTGCATATTTTCCTCTTCTTTTTTATATACTTTAAAAACATGTTTTAGGTTTGCAATATCCGTAACTAATTGTATTGCTAAACAAGCTATTTCCCTTGACCTGTGGTTTTGAGACCTTTGCCTGGCTTCCCCCCAGTCCCGGCCACCCTCTCCTGGAAGTGAACAAACAAATCACTGAAGTGCTTATGTGTTCCAATGGCCCAAGGCCTTAGCCATATAGGTCCAAAATAGTGACAGATTGGTTCCTCTTGAAGAACATTTGTTGATTAACTTCTTCTGGTTGAATCTTGGACGGCCTAGGAACTGGGCATATAGACCTGTATGTACATATATATACAAATATATGCATCTCCCTGGCACCCTAGGAGATGGTTGATGGCATTTCAATTTAAAAATAAAATGTAAGGGGATTTATTGGTGGTGAAAGTTTCCAGTTTTTCTGACCTGGAAACAGGTTTTTCTTCTCTCCCCCCCGGGCGATGAAGCAAGTTTCCCTAGAGCTGCCCCACTGCTGTGCTTCAACTCTGAGCTGGAGGAACTCTCTCTTGGAGCCACACTGTATTATTATTATTATTTGTTGTGGTTAGTGCTGAGTCCTGGATCAAGGCCCCATTGGGCCAAGCACT